TTCTAAGCGCCTCGTATGAGATAATAAACGGACAAGTGTTTAATCGGCTATCCTCAAAATGAAAAGTTTTTCTCTCTCTTGCCGCGGTCTATAAATAGACCGATCTCTCTTGATCCCCCGACAACCCATTCCTCCGGACGAACGTTCCGTCTAGATGATGTATGGCCCGAACCGACGCGAATTTTATCCCACGCCAACCGAATACGATATACGCATACACCGTACATATTGTTGATATAATATAATTCGCGGATCGAAACTGATTTCGTCGAAAATTGTTAACGTGAACAGTCAAGGTTATCACGGTTAGTTGCTAATTGTCGGAGCTCAAAAGCTGTTATAACACATTGAGGTTTTTATTTTTGTTTTTTCTAGAAAAATATAAAGATAGGTAAAATTTTTAAACGGTTTTTTTTTCCGTTATTTCATACCCATATAAAATCGACACACTAAAATATCAAATAACTACATAAACACAGATCCAGAAGGAGCTTTCACCCCCTCTATCGCACTTCCTGCTGAGTCCAACATTGGTGACCGGAATAGTTTACCGCCCGAAAACGGCTATTGTGGAACGGACGGCAGGTAACACTGACCGAGAATGGAACGGTTCGTTTCGGCCCAATAAAGCGCGCACCCAGTTAATGATAAGGTGCCACGAGTGTCGTCCGATCGCGTCCCGTTCCGATCATTTTAACCGTTCTCGAATTTCGATCGCGTCCGGTTTTAGCAGGCATGTATCCGATTGCATCCCGAACACGAAAATTTGCGAATTTCCGTTGCGCGCGGCAACATTATTCCAACTAATAAAACTCATATCGTGCCGATGCGTATATGAAACCAATAAATTATAGTTACAATTTTTTTGATATACACACAATTGCGTTTTGTACACGCGTTGTCAAAGACATTGCGCTTATTATGCCCGGTCAAATGTTCAACCTGCAGCGAAGCGTGCCGACCGACAATAAACGTGAATTTGTTTTGCAAATTTTGATCTAGTGGTAATCTCATCTCCGTTGTGTTGAACTTCCGACCGGCGTACAATAATATTGTATCATAAACACCAATTCATTATACTTACACGGCGTATTTCTGGACGCACAGTTTAGCGCGTTGCACAGTGATTTCACCGTAACAACACTTACGTGACGATGTCGACGTCGGGCGAAAAAAATCGGAAAAGTTTCGTTATCGACAATTTTACAGATATTGGTTTCATGAAATACCGTGTAATCTGAATAATAATTTTTTTTCTCCGGTATTGAACAATATTCCCGAATTTTTACACAGCGCGTTGTTCTCGCCCAACCCCGGACCGTTGATCGCGGAACGCAATCGAAAATCGAAAAAAAGGCCAAAAGGGACGCAATCGACATTTCGTCGGCCGCAATCGGTTTTCCGTTTACCCGACTTTCGGACGCAATCCACTGTCTCCGGCGTATGTACCGCGGTTATCTGCTGCACGCGCTACACGAGTTACGTATTTGACAGTTTAACATTTGCTGTTAACACATCGTAACGACGAATCGATAGGTGATGGCAATACGCGTTTACTGAATCGTAAATAAAAAAACATTATCCAATTTCATTTCATTAGGCGTGTAACGCAGAGAGTAGCGGACCATCTTAATCAATAGATTTAGGTATACTCATTCGGTGACTGATGATAATTTAAATCGCTAGAAAATGCAATTCTCCGGCTACTATATAATCGTTACATCGGTATATCATTTGTTTTAAATCGATTAAAAACACACTACTGTGCGTGCGCCCACAATATTGAACACGCTTCGAAACCGGGTCAACTACTATAACGCTAATAGCTTACCAGTCGCGTCACTTTGACAGCAGCAATTTAAATTATACAAAACAGCATCGATCTCGGTAGACGACCGCGGTCGGGACTAAACTAAACTAAATTTTGAACCGGGCCCTACATTACGGTTCTGCGATCCGTTCGGCACCCGGATCGCGGGGTCGATTCAATTTTACCACGGTGCGTGTCACGTTATAATATTGCGCCGTCGTCGTTTATCGATATTCAAATCGCTTCGATTTCGGCCGATTCAATTGGTTCGGTACGCGCGCTTTCGTTGAAATTAATCGGTCGAAATTAACCCTCGTTTTTTTTTTCGGTTTTTTTTTTTCACGCGAAACCGCGTCCCACAGACCGCCGTACCGGAAGAGAAATTACCGCGTTAGCCCGCCGAGACGCCGTCACCTACGGTTCGCAAATGTGCCGCGACGTCTTAACGACCGCAGAACGCATACGGTGTGACGTTTTCGCGCGCGGCCACGGCCGTCGAAACGGACCGATCGAAAACGGGGCGCGCTCGTCCCGGGAAGTTTACGCGCGACCGGACCGCGAAAATTGTCCCGAATTAATTTCGCGGGCTTAACCCGGAAAGGTTAAGACGCGGCGGCCCGGCGAACCGCGAGTATTTATCGCCGTACCGCGGTACGTTCAAATTCGACGGCGCAGAAGAACACTCCGTACATAATATTCCGTATAAGTGTGTAACGATTGTAATGTACGAGCTGTACAGCGCGATTAAATTACCGCGCGAGCGCCGCGTGATATATGTACGCTTTAAGCGCAGTGTTTTGTTTTTAGGTTTTTTTTTTTTTTCAAAAATATATTACGCGCTCGCTCGGATCGGGATTCGCGAATCCGACGGTGCGCGCGAGCACGTCGAGAAAACGATAACGTCGCGATATTTATTTCGTAATAACGTACCGGAAGATGGGGGGGGGATCTTAGCGGAGAAGGGGAAGGGGGGGGGCGCTTACCCCCTCTACAACTTAGCGTGCACACAACAATATACCGTTGTAACTTATAATGTTGTGTAATACCTCGCCGTGCCGTTATTGTTTGCCGGTCGCATTATAAAATAAATACGCGACGGCGGCGGAGTCGCGAGGACTCATTGCGGACGGATGGGCTGGGAGGGGGGAACGGAAATATCGCGTACGCTACAGATAGGGGAAAAAGTTGTGATTGGGGCCGAAGAAGGAGTGATAGGGGAGGTTTAATGGGGTGGNGGGGGGGGGGGGGGGGGGGTGGAGAGGGTCGCGTTATTTATAAAACGCGCGCGGGCATAAGTAGATTATTATATTCGCGATAAAACAACGCGTAATTATTTCGCACGGTTCGGGGCGCGTTGTACCAAAACGGTGTCGTATGCGAAAAACAAACTGCACGTACGAGGCTAATAATAATAACAACAACAACAACAACAACAACATGCCGACGGTAAGTATTTGTAATTCGATTTTACGGTGAGACGATATTGTTATAATATTTACGGTTATAAGAGTTTTCGGAATATTCAAAACGCGAACGCGACTGAAATATACCCGATAATTATTAAACATATAATACGACACACCAACGATACAGTTGCGTATTTACGGGGGAGGGGAGAGAGTTCTATGCAATTATGTTTTTTTTTTTTTCAATATCTACATGATATTTCATACGAATAGGTACGCGTATTATTGATTTTACAACGTTTAGCTTTTTATACTGCGAGTCTGTTAACGACTTTTTTACCAGACGTCTTGCTCTGATATTCCAATGTATCAAGTGTAGTACCGTTTCTATATTACATTTATCTATTCGGTACATTAAGGAGGTCATTTTTTTGATTTTTCAAGAGGTTTTCAAAAATTATTGGAAAATACGTAGGGAAATTTACGAAAATAATGTTTTTATTATTTTTAATTTGGTGACATTTTTAAAACATTTGTATGATTTTAGAGTTGTTTGTAGCCGTTGTAGTTTCGTAATTCTTTTTTGGTTAGTACTCTGTGGATAAAACGTTTAGATTTAACAAAAATACTAGCAAATTTAACATAGAGGGGTTTTTAATTGGTCGTATTTTTTTTTTATATAAGAATTTGAATACCAAATTTTAACGAAAATCGTAATTATCATGACCTTTTTTAAAACATGTGTAACCGAACTCCGCTCCGAATCGTTTAACATTACCAATGGTTTATTATTGCGTACAGATATAAATTAAATTTCCCTCTGTATCTTACCTCCCAAACTTTTCACCTACAACAATGGCCCACCCGTCGTGCGAAGTATCCGTCTGTCAAACGGATTTCGTCTTTTTTAAATTCAAACGTCTATAATTGTTAGTCGGAAAAATCAAAAGTTTAATACGCCATTGCGCAAGCAGTTATCTGCAGTGTAAATATATCAACAAAACGAAAAAAAAAATCCAAACGCAAACGGTTTCTCATTTAAATACGAAACCTACTCGTATATCCGAACCGCTGAAATAAAGGGAGTTAGTTTACAATGCAATGCAGGAGAGACCAGGTACTGTTGTAACACTTTTTATACTACGTATGTAGCCGTATCTCATAAGATAATTTTCACCGGCGGTTGTTTTCTTACGGTAATAGATAGAGAGTAGTTTGTCTAGCTTCTTAGTAAAATGCATAATAGTTTCTTAACGTTCCCTTAAGTAATAAACGCGTAAATTGATGTACAATTTAATATCGTAAATTTATAATTTCCACCTACTGGTAGGATAATATGTAATATACACAAATATGCAAATATTGACTTGAAAAACATATTAAATGTTTCAAAATGAAACATAATCATGTGCTTGTTTGCGAATTGACATGCCGGTTGTCTGATTTCACGGGAGGTGAGTCCAAAATACACGAATACCGAATTCTTACTAAAAATGATGACTGGTTGCAACTAGCACGTTCGCGAATTTGGCCCCACCATGTTATGATAAATACACCAACATTTTGCAACATTTTGCAACTAATTTGAAACTTTAGGCAACCGGTAAAAAAAAATTTGNATTCCCGTGTTTTCTTTTTATAACAGCTACATAATGGTCTAATCCATATGAAACTATGCCATAAAATGTATATCTAAAAACAAATAATAATTATTTTTAATAAGGATATTATAAATATATTTACTATCATTACTTGTCATCATTTAAACATATCTTTGTAGGGAATTAATTTAGTGAAAATTGCCGTGAATTTTCATATATTTCAGTTTCAATAAATAAATGTTGCTGGATGAATCGGGTAGATGTTAATGTTCCATCACAATATCCTTCAGTACATAGATAAGTGATTGGTTGTATGTACTTATTTAAAGCTGTATTCATATTATTGAAGCCTCCGCAAAAATTTAATATTATTGTTGGGCTTGATAAGTTTTTTTCAGCATTAATACAATTTATATTTGAGCACCTTAATTCTTCAATAGCTGATGGCACATCTTTTAATAGTTTTGAAATAATATATGTAATGTTACATCTAGCGTCGATTAATTTTACATTAGTTATTCCATCAGATTCGTCAAAAATATTTTTTAAAATATGAAGTCTTTTCAAATACATTATTTTTGAACTTCCATGAATAGCCAAGTCTTTACAAATCTGGAGTAATTCATTTTTCTCTGTGTTAATTAATTGTTTTTATTGGTTATTATCAATGTAAGCCATAGTTATAATGACTGCAATTGAGTCAAAAGTGCAAGTGTTATGCAATAAATACCTTTGCTTTGAGATTTTTAGTGGCGTGATAATATTTCCATTTATAAGCAGACTATTTAAATTTGAACGCGTTGTCTTTTGTGTCAATATATGTTCAATTTCTGGCACTACATCCATATATGTGGTCATTCTTAGTTTTTTTTCTCTTAATGGGCTTTTGATTAATATTTACTTCAATTTCATTATTATCTCCCAATCCTCGCCAATTATCAAATGCATCCATTTCATTTCTACCTTCTGATATTTCCGACACTTCTGAATCACTACCTTCATCCAAATTTTCAAATAATGATCGTTTTATATTTTTTTCTGGTGATTTTTTATCTACAGTAATATCGTCATGTGTATTTTTTTATATGTTCGGTGCTTGAATCATGCCTTAATTGTTTACTTCTGAAAAGTTTAGTGTTACTGTCTATAGCTTTCAGATGCTTAATCACAAATCTGTCAGCGGTCATTGGTTGAACTTCGTAACGAAGTGTTTTTCGTTTTAAGTCACCAAAATCACTTTCTACTGAAGCTGAAGTGGAAGTATCATAAGTTGAGTTAAATGATATTTTCATAACATTTGTCCATAATGGAAAGTCTTTACATACACGTAAAATATCTTTTGCGAGGTTGGGAGCCCAGTAACCCGATAAACTTGTTCCTATTACTTTTGAATTGTTTAGACTTTCTTCTTCAATTGTTCTTAAAAATTCTGTAATTCCTTCAGATTCCCCGTCTTCATCATCACTCTCGGTAATATAATTTTCTTTATTTTCTTCTATTTCTTCACCATTAATATCATTTAGAGTAATACCTTTTATTAAGTTTAAAATCTTATTTTTACTTGCTTCTGATGGTGTTACATTATTAGCTTCATCCAACCCATTTGTTTCGCTCATCATTGTTGTTAAAAGTGCGATAAGTATTTCCCCGAATTCATCAATTTTACATGATAATAATAATAATCGTATTCCTCTAATATAAAACTGTTTCAACTGTTTATTTTTAATACCTGATAAATGCTTGTTTCGGCAAAATATTTTTATCATATGCGCTATATCAATACGGATATAGCATTGAGGTAATTTTTCTGGATTTTCCGTTATAACCCTGAAACACTTTTCTGCATAACATCGTAAAGTTAAACCACTACAAAATGCCCTTGTAATAGCTCCTAAAAGAGCTGTAGAATAATCACAAACTGTTTCGACTTACTCGAGTAAATGCATATTCAACAATGATATTATAATATTATTGACATTAAAATAAAATAATTTCTATGAATGAAATTCCGTTTGTTCCGACTATTCCGTTATTGTCAATTATTTTAGTACCATAATGTTTTTATTAGTATAATGTTTGCTATATTTAGATCGCAGACTAGATATTTCGGTATATATATAGCATTATCGACAGACATAGTTGGAGGGTATAGGGGGGGACTGTTGTACAAATGTAGATGGTTGGTGGTATATAAGGGAAATAATTATGTGTTATATGTTATGTCTTGGTGACTATCGTAAATAAAATATTCCCGTAGTCCGTCAAACCAATATTTTATTTATGTACTATAATAATAATTTCGTGTTCGGTTTTTGAATTTGTATAAATTGTCATGTTTTAATGTTTATCATATTAGCAGTGAGCACGATATGTGATGATACCATAAAATAAATGTACTTATTCACAATAGGTACATTTGTTGTTAATATATGATCATTAGGGTGTTCCTTAGCTATAGATGATGAGGAAAAATCATCATAAAATGTTTGGTCTCACCCCCTACTAATGTGCCTATGTGTATAAAAATGAAGTACAAAAAGTTTTGGTTCGATCAGATAAGGTTAACCCGTGCCGACTTGTGATTTAAGTTTGAACTTACTACATTTTTAAATATTTACGCAAATTTTCGACATTTTCGTAAATATTTCGTTAACCTTTAGAAATATCGATATTTTTAATACTACATATTTTAAAGCAAATTAAATTTGCTATAACTTTTATTTTATTACATTTTTTCATGTCTCTAATGGTTCGTGAATTATATTGATTTGACTCCAAAAAAACACAATTTAGGTATTTTTTCATAATTATGAATTATTGTGCGGGCTAAAATAATTTTTACAAAACTCTCATATGAAATTTTCTATAAAGTTATTATATGTATTTTCGCCTTCATATTATCGCTGGTAATATAACAATCACAATACAAGTATAATGTTCACAATAATAATATCATTGATCATACAGCATGATATCCAAAATATTAATAATCATTAAAATGTTTTTGAATAGCCCATCATTTTTGAATTGTCATAATTCTGTATTGTTGAGTTACTAATTATAATATGTTGTTTACAAATAGTTACAGTTTAAAATATATTATAATATATTATACTATTCCTGAGGCTCTAGATGATTTAAAAATTTGGTATTGGATATACAATTATTNTTTTTTTATATCACCAGGTAATCTTTATATATAAAAGTGAAACTACAGAACTATAATTATAATTTAAAATAATATATTAGTATGAAATAAAATCAATTCCGAAAAAATTAAAATATTGGCCCTAAAAATTCAAAATCGATACGACGATGTGGTGGGGCTATGTGAATTTGGCCCCACCAACTTAGGAATTCGCTTCCGGCGTAACCACGAGGTTGCAATTTTTTTCACGAAGGTTGCCTAAAGTTGCAAATTAGTTGCTAAATTATGAAAAAGGTTCGAGGTCGATACGACGATGTGGTGAGGTCACGTGAATTTGGCCCCACCAACTTAGGAATTCGCTTCCGGCGTAACCACGAGGTTGCAATTTTTTTTTACCGGTTGCCTAAAGTTGCAAATTAGTTGCTAAATTATGAAAAAGGTTCGAGGTCGATACGACGATGTGGTGAGGCCACGTGAATTTGGCCCCACCAATTTTAGTTTAGCGATCAGGACAAAAATATAAGGTTGCAAATTTTTTTTTACCGGTTGCCTAAAGTTGCAAATTAGTTGCAAAATGTTGCAAAATGTTGGTGTATTTATCATAACACTGTGGGGCCAAATTCACGAACGTACAACTAGCAGCGAAAAGTCTGTTACGTTTTATTTCGACATAACTTTTTTTTTTTAAATATTTATCACGGAATATCACGAAATTTGCGTTCAAGTATGGCCGAAGATGGAAATTTGTTTTAAAACTGCGACAACAAGCTGAAAAGTTAAACAAATAATTAGTTGTATACTTGTCAGTCGACTTGGCCGTAATATCAAAACTGATTATTCGAATAAAAATGTAATCGAATTTATTTTTATAACATTGAGCTCTATACAAAAATATTGTTGGGGACAAAGAGGATATATATTTTATATTACAAGGCCATAATTGGCTTTGTAATATTTACTTGTAATATGTTTTTTTAATATTTGCATATTTTAAATTAACAACCGATGTTTAACCAAATAAAATAAACGAAAACTATTCGAGTACTTTTCGATTAAATATTTGAATAATCAGTTATTACAATAGGTTCAAACTCTTATCAAGAAAAAAATTCGCCCAACTCTGCTTACCGGTGATAAAATGTGGTTTTTGATTGAAACCGCATTAAGGTTCAATGATATCACGATTCTGACAACAATAAAACATAACATGGTTATCCTTATTTCCGGAACTAACGACACGTATTGAAATTCTACAGACAAATGCGTTACGCGCTGCAACGCTGTATCCGGTATCTCCTGCATAAATGGATTAATTACATTAATTGATAAAATCAATTAACTTGTTGTTTTGATTTCAACGATAAATTTAGTATAGGTGGCCAGATCGAATTGTAAGCTATTTACGAATATAATTAAATTTAAAAAAAAAATGGAATTTTATTTTTTTGCCTGAATACTCGTTACGCAATATGATACAATTTCCGAATTCAGTATTAAAACATCCCTCCCCGGCGAAAACCTAAATACGCCACTGCCGGGATAACATACTGGGTAATATAATTTCAACTGTACCGCTGTTTATACGTTTTAACCGTATTGACAACCGTGTAGATATGAGCGGGTCGACGCGGCGCGGTGAGAAAATCTAAAACTCCAATTAAAAACTGTTGGCCCCTCCCGAACAACCGTATCGTAGCTCCACGGATACGGGCAATGCGTCTTCCGATTGAACATATTGCACCGTATTGTTATTTTTTATAATGCGATTATTACTTCCGTGTTTTTATTTATTATTATCGTCGCGTCGCGCGGCACACACACACACACACAAACACAAACAAATTCGCTTTTGCAAGAAACGCTGACCCAGAAGGAAATCTGTTAATTATTCGGTCGATTCGTTCGACTATACGCTGAAGTCTCCTCCGCGTTACTCTCGCTCGGCTAGAGCGTTCCGTTCGGTTGCAAAAGCAGCACTCGAGCGTGTGTGATTACTCGTCCGGACACAAAAATCGTCGGCTACTCATCATAACAATATTATCATACAGAGTGTTCCAGTGCGATTTCGGGGATACAATAACTTTCGTTATGTTCAACGTGTTTCGGTTTAAACAAAAAAAAAAAAACAATAATGTTACGGTGCTTCGTGCACTGCGATTAACACGTTATCACGGTTAGTTTTTTTCGGGATAACCGGGGCGGGCGAGATCGCGAAAAATGAAACGAAAAAACGATTACATTTTATTTTATAATTTTGAAAAAAAAAAAATAATAATAAATAAAAATAACAATTCGTAGCTCGGTATAGAGTATTCCTGTTTTGTTCTGTATACGTACTCTTGGGGCTGTACTCGAACAGACACAATACGTCTATATTGCATTATACTTTCAAATGTTTGACTCGATTGAAATGTCAACGAAATCCGTTCAAAACGTGTTAATAATATGGCGCCAAACAGTTGCGAAAACGACGTAGTGTTTTTAGAAAAAACCATACGAAAACGATCACGGAGACGCGCGTTGATTGGACGCCACGCGCTCATTCGTAATATGATATTACGAATGGGATATTACTAATATCCCACGCAGAACATAAAAAACTTGCGTTCAGCACCGTCACTTGTATGCTGTCAATATTAATAATACGGTAAGAGTCCGTTGACCGATTATAATGCTTTAAAGCGAGAAAATCTCTGTTAAACGCTTCTTCTTTGCGATTTCCCGTTTACTGTATAGTAATGCCGCGGATCGTCGTTGCTAAGGTCAAATTTAAGTGTCTTGTTGCGTCACTATTCGTTCATTCGGTTCATCATTGTTGTTAATAATATTTTGTGAACGTGCGACACTGGCAGTTATTATTTTATCACGATGTATTTGACACATATTCATAATATAACACGCCCCCCTCCCGAAAAATAAAATCCCAATTACGCCGCCGATTGAAGATGATTTTGATTTTCCTTGTAGACATCTTATAACAACGAGAAAACCGTCGATTTTCTGTCCGTAGCTTTTGTCGATTTCCGGGCCACCTTGGCGACAAAGGAATAGACACGACCAACAAAATTGCACTCGGGTCAGAATCGTTTCTCCCTTAGCAACGGCTTAGCATCGTTTCGTTCGGATGAAACCAAATAACTCTCCTGCACGGCCTGCTTTATAATTATTACCTCCCTAAACAGCGGCACACCCGTCAGCGACATCGCCGTGCTAAATCGGTATTGAAACGTCTATTAATTAGCGCTAATCGATTCGTGTGCTCGAATTTAAACCGCGGCGTTTCCGCACGCACACGGTGTATCGTTATTAAGACTTCCGGCTTAAACGAAATTGATGTCTCGACGAAATCAATATGGCGACAACAGTCGCCGAGGAATTATTATTATAATGCTGTTATCGCAACAGGGCAAATGTATTATACACAAAAGAATAATACGCACGCTAATATTTCGCGACGCGACGACACGT